GTGGCAGAACGGAGAGCCACCAGCTGCAGGTGAGGAGTTCCTTATTTAGCCCTATGATAGTTAAGTTTAATTGTCGACTTGATTGGCTTGGAAGCCACCTAGAGCATTAGTGTTGTATACTTCTGCATGTTTCTGTGTGGGTCTTACAGGTATAAACTTGGGGCCCTTAATCCTTCCTCTTGGGTCCTGCTTCCCTATTAAGCTTCCCAGCTACCCAAAACTAAGAAGCTTTGCTCTCCCACACCCTTTCACCATTGTGCTTAGGTCTGGAAGCCAGTCAACCATAGACTCAATCCTCTGAAACAGTGAGCCAAATTAAACCTCTCATCCTTTAAATTGTGGATGTTTGCCCAAAAATCGCTAGCCTTCTTGTACACAAATAACAGACTCACTGAGAGAGAAATTAGGGAAACAATTCCTTTCACAATAGCATCCAAAAAAATGAAGCATCTAGGAATCAATCTAACAAAAAAAGCAAAAGACCTCTACAGTGAAAACGACAGCACTCTGAAAAAGGAGATCAAAGAGGATATAACAAAATGGAAATATATCCCCCTGCTCCTGTGTAGGAAGAATCAACATAGTGAAAATGGCCATACTGCCAAAACTGCTGTATAGATTCAATGCAATGCCAATTGAAATTCCAACACTATATTTCACAGAACTAGAAAAAACAATACAAAAATTCATTTGGAACCATAAGAGACCTAGAATAGCAAAAGCCATCGTAGGCAACAGACACATGGCAGCGGGTATAACAATTCCCAATTTGAAACTATACTACAAAGCCACTGTGATAAAAACAGCATGGTAATGGCAAAGAAACAGACCTGAGGATCAGTGGAACATACTGGAAAACACAAAAACAACTCCAGATGTACTCAGCTACCTCATCTTTGACAAAGGAGCTGACCATCCCCACTGGAGGAAAGATAGCCTCTTTACTAAATGGTGTTGGAAAAACTGGATCTCAACCTGCCAAAGATTAAAACTAGACCGTTATCTTTCACCGTGCACTAAATTAAAATCCAAGTGGATTAAAGATCTAAATATTAAAAACAGAAACACTAAACTTGCTGGAAGATAAGTTAGGCAGAAATCTTGAAGACATTGGCATAGGAAAAGGCATTATGAACAAATCCTCAGTAGCACGGCAACTAACAGAAAGAATCAACAACTGGGATATCATCTTATTGAAAAGCTTCTGCACTGCAAAAGAAACCATCAACAGAACTAAGGGACAACCTACAATGTGAGAGAAATTTTTACCACCTGCTCCTCAGAGAAAGGACTATTATCTAGAATCTATATAGAACTCAAAACAATCAGCCCCCCGAAATATAAAGACCCGATTCAAAATTGGGCATCTGAAATGAACAGACATTTCTCAGACAAGTAAAAGCAGCAAAGAAATATATGAAAAAATGTTCCACATCATTGGTCATTTGAGAGATGCAGATGAAAACAACACTGAGATTCCACCTCACCCCACAAAGAATGGCTGCCATCAAGAAATCAACCAATAACAAATGTTGGCAGGGTTGTGGGGAGAAAGGAACCCTTCTCCATTGTTGGTAGGAGTGCAGACTAGTGCAACCACTATGGAAATCAATATGGAGATACCTCAAAGAGCTGGGACTAGAGGTTCCATTTGACCCAGCCATCCCTCTGCTGGGTATCTTTCCAAAAGAATTAAAAGAATCACATCACAGTGATATATGTGCACCAATGTTTATAGCAGCACAGTTTGTAATAGCTAAAACTTGGAAACAGCCCATTTGCCCACCAATTGGAAACTGGATAAAGAAGATGTGGTTTTTCTATAAAATGGAATACTACTCAGCCACAAAGAATGAGAAATTAGATTCATTCATAGGAAAATGGTTATATATTGAAGATATACTCCTAAGTGAAATAAATAATTCACACGTGTAAATACTGAATACTTTCTCTGGTGTGAAAAAAGATAATAGTACATAAGATCCTAATGAGATAATTGACAGTGTGAAATAGGAAGAAAAGGGCTGAGGCTAAAGGTATAGGGAAAGTGGGAAGGTAATAAGGGAAAGGTAATAAGGGAAAAGACAAAAATATGATAAAATAAAAAAATGGAAATAAAGTGCTTGTAAATGGAGAAGGGAGGAGGGGGTGCAGGGAGGGCAGGGACAAGGGGAAAAAATGAGAAGCAAGACCTGTCATGTAAAGGTACAAGATCCCAATAATGAATGTAACTATATTGTGTACCTAAAATGTACCGGTAAACTCAATGAAAAAATTTAAAAATAAATAAAGAAATTGTGGGTATTTTTGGTATTTTGCCTACAATGTGAAGTCTTTCTAATACAGAAACTTGATACCAGAGAATAGAGGTCATTGCTGTGCCCATATCTGGCCATGAGGTTCAGAAGCCTTTGGAACAGATTTCTGGGAAGAGTTTAATGCTGGTGTATCAGTTAATGTTACTACACCAACAGATTTAAGATACAATATATGGATTTATAAGGGAGGCTTACAGTGTCCACCCAAAGAGTCAGGTGTGCAAGAATGCAAAAAGGCCTTCGTCATGCTGGAGATTGGAAGGATCTAGTAAAAAATCGAAGGTCTGAGGACCTTGGTTCACATGATGCAGACCCCTGTGATTCTGTATCAGGAAGCTGGAGGGTCTCCATGGAAAGGCTGAAAAGTCTGCCCTGGAAATCTGGAGATGTGCAGGAGGTTGAGATGAAAGGTGGAAGAAAAGTCAAGGTAGTTCAACATCCAAGACGTGGCATGGATATTGCTGACTGTGAACACCAAGATTTGTAGTGACAATCAGGGGTAAAAAGAGCAGAAAATGGGCTATAGGTGGTGTGGCTTTTAAACAGATTAGCACCATTAAACAAAAACCAAATTTATAACCTTGAAAAGGGACAAGAAGAAAGATGTCTTGAGAGCATCTCAGGAATTGGCAAGGCCCACGCATCACAGGCTCAAGGATGCAAAAGTGTAAAGCCTTCCTTTGAGAAGAAAACCCCTGGGTCACCTGCTTGATTAAAGCCATCTAGATGATTGGTATCCCTGGTTTTATTTCATCTTGTTCAGCCATCCAGTTAGTCATTCTGCCATAGCACAGCTACAGAGGCATGACTATGGCTTCTCTGAGTTGCAGGCCTTTGTTTCCCTCACATGGTGCTGGTTGCTCAGGCATGCTGAATGCAAGGGTCAGGAATCTGTGGAGGCATCATCCAGATTTCAGTGGGCGGCCTGAAGGCCAAGCATTGTGCCCTTGAGACATGAGTTGTGTATCTGTGAGAGTGAACCTGGGAGTTCAGTGGAGACACCAGGAGGTCTGAGAGGCCAGGAATGTGGAACATCTGCGTTTAAAATCTGCAGGCCACGACTGGAGCTGTATGGGCTGCAACCATGAGGCCATAGTGATGGGATGTCCAAGCCTTCTAGGACTCACAGCTGTGTGCACATGGGGATACAGAACTTAATGTTTGCACTGCAGGGTTTCGATCTTGCTTTGGTCTTGTTCTTTTCTATCTTCCCATTTCTCTCTTTTGGAATGGGAATGTTGACCTTGTACCGTTGTCTCTCCGGATGCAGTCATTGGCTTTCTGAGTTTTGTAGAGATTCACAACTAAGAGTTTGCCTTGAATCTCAGAGAAGAATTTGAGTTGGATTTTTTTAAATGCTGGAATTGGTAAGATTTTGTGTAAAAGATTATTGCACTGTTGGTTGTTGATAAAATAGTTGTATCATGTGGAATTATAAACTTTTTATTGTCTTTATTTAGAAACTGAGTAACTGGATGTCTCTATGCCTGATGCAGTTATCTCTTGTGGAGTTGCTACAATAAATAAATGAACTAGTACATTATTAATATATATGATGGAATCGATAGTAGGCACTCAAAAATTTATGTTAGAGTTAAGATGTTTCTTTAATGACTATATATTACATTAAGTAGAAGAGGGTACAGACTTGGAAAAGTCTGTTACACCTATCAAAAAGAGTGAATATTTTTATACTTGCTGTAGAAGTAAAGGAACCTGTTCATTTCCCTGGACTCATTGTTAAGCCAGGATAAATACAGACTTGAAATAGCAGTGATGAATGGAGGATTTCTAGACAGGATAAGAAATGCAAGAGGATTCTAGAAATTTGCACATGTACGCAAGATATTCCACCCCTTCCGACAACCTCAAAGAAATATACGAAATGTATAAAAATAAACTTCTTTACTCCAGAGTACAGGATACTGCTTCCGCTAAATTCACTTGGAAAACTAATATCCAATGCAATTGTCTGTGATAAACTGAAGTTTAAAAGATTTGAAAACGCTTTGGGAGCATATAAATCAGATAATCACAATCTTTTATGGCTGGAAAAGTTCAGCTGGTGTTGACAGGTTGTAAAGATAAAAGCTTATAGCACAGTCAAGAGCTAAATGCCTAGATTGGGTTGGGGATCAATGTTAATACTGAAAGTATAAAAGCACTGAACTTCATATGGTCCCTCATAATGTTCTGTTTTTCTACTTGAAAACAGAATAGTGTAGAGCTTTATTTACTGGAAAATTTTGCTTGTGATGAAGCAAATATAATTATCAAACACATTGCTTAGTTATCATAGGTATTGTGTACAGCAAGAGGCCTTCAGCTGCTGCATTTTAAAACATTTCTAGTTGGCATATTATAGATAAGAGTCAAACCTTACATTTCCAGGATCCTTCATTCCTTTCTTTTCTCATTTCAACTTTTTTTTAACTTTATCGGTATTTGCCTCATGGCCTCCATCTGATCTCAGTAAGGACATTGTGTTTCAAAGGTGGTTTGCATGAGCTGATTCAATGCTCTCCTGGCACGAGTGCCGTGGCCAGGGGCAAGGTTTGTGCATACTGGGTTGCGTAATGGATTTGCTACATTTAGCTCCAACCAGTTTGCTGATTGTGCCTCTAGGTGAGTCCTCCAATGTCTCTGACCTCTGCTTGCTTTCTTTTGTTGTTCTGTTTGCAGGAGCTGAGGGCACAGTTTTCCCAAAGTCTATAGAAACACCTAATGTCAGGGCAGACCCCTTCAAGGAACTAAGGTAAGCTTCTGACTTTGGTTTGCATTTATTAATGGCTATTACCTTTCTCATGATTCATTTTGAATAATACTGTTATAATACAGTACATAAATTGGGAGCACTTGGTAAATTATTAAAGATAAGATAAAACCAAAAGGAAATTTTCTCTGAGTACTTAAATCTAAGGTTCTGGAGTAAGTACTTGCCAACTTTGCAGTTGTGATATTTAGATTCATTCTCTGGTAGTAGAAGTTTGTGGCTGTATTTTGGGGTGCTACCAACCTATCCTCCTATAAAGTAGTTGAACTAAACAGTAATGTGTGATGAAAGAAAAGAGCTGTATAAGAGAAGCTGAAGTCTAAATTCAGTATGTACTTTTTAAATTTTAACAAGCTATTACTAGGGTTGGTATGATCATGGAGCTACATTCTGTGGGTATTCCATTTACTTATGTTATTTGTCAAGTATTCATAAGTGTGGGACTTGCAGAGAACTCTAAGGTGCTATGCACTTACTGCCAACAGCTACCGAGAAAAAAAGAGACTAATACACAGTCCAGAAACAATTCTAGCCAACAAAGAACTATCCCTTTCTAAAGAAAAGCACGTTTAAAATGGTATGTTCAGGTTGGGGATGGTGATACCCCCTGCCTTGTCTTTATTGCCTAGAATTTCTTTTGCTATTCTAGGTCTCTTCTTGTTCCAAATGAATTTTTGGATTGTTTTCTCAGGGTCTGTGAAGTATGCTGCTGGGATTTCAATTGGGATTGCACTGAATCTATATAGCAGCTATGGAAGTATGGCCATTTTCACAATGGTGATTCTTCCTACCCAGGAGCACGGGATGTTTTCCATTGTCTGATATCCTCTTCAGTCTCTTTTTTTCAGAGTGCTGTAGTTTTCAGAGTAGGGGTCTTTGATTTCGTTTGTTAGGTTGATTCTTAGGTAGGTATTTCAATTTTTGGATGCTATTGTGAAGGGAATTGATTGCCCCATTTCTCTCTCAGTGAGTCTGATGTCCGTGCGCAGAAAATGTATTGATGTTTGTGTATTGACCTTGTATGCAGCTACTTTACTGAATTTGGTTATTAAGTCTAGAAGACTTTTGTTAGAGTTCTTGGGATCTTCTATATAGAGTATCATGTCATCTGCAAATAATGACACTTTGACTCCTTCATTTCCTATCTTCACATTGATATAAGTGCCATGTTCGTAGCAGTACACTTTGTTATAGCTAAAACTTCGAAGTAGCCCAATTGCCCATCAAGGAGAGACTGGATAACGAAAATGTGTAGTTTTGTTTTGTTTTTTTTCATAAAATGGAGCACTACTCAGCCATAAAGAATGAGAAACTAGAGACATTTATAGCTAAATGGATGCACATTGAGGCGATACTTTTTTTTTCATAAAATGGAGCACTACTCAGCCATAAAGAATGAGAAACTAGAGACATTTATAGCTAAATGGATGCACATTGAGGCGATACTCTTAAGTGAAATAAATAGGACACACGTGTAAATATTGAATAGTTTCTCTAGTGTGACAAATTGAAAGTGTAAATAAAGACTAAAAGGTATAAATAATGTAAATTAGGAAGAAAAGGTGCAAAAAGGAAGTGGGAGGGGTAGGGAAAAGAAAGAAGGGAATGAAATTAATATGAGAAAATGAAAAAATGGAAAGAAAGTCTTTGTGGATAGAGGTTAAAATGAGGGCAGAGGAATGGGGAGAAAATAAAAAACGAGATGGATTATGTAAAGGTGCAAATTTCCAGTGATGAATGTCATTATATTGTATGCCTTAAATGCACCAATACAATTAATTAAAAGAGTTTTTTTTAAATAATATGTTCAAATCAGGCAAGTTGAAATACACTTGTAATCCCCGCACTCTGGGTGCCTGAGACAAAGACAAGTGGATTATAAATTAGAGCCTTACCTGGGGACTTAAGCAAGACTTTGTCTCAAAATAAAAACAAGCCAGTTATGTTGAAACAAATACCGTTGTAGCATCTAGGATATAATTATAATCACGATGAAGTCAGGGAATGAATATTACCTTTCTTCACTTTGGGTAACTCTTTTACCTAAAACCAGTCATAAATCACTAAGTGACTATACATAGCATTGTGTAACTATTTTATAGTAGTCATCAACCATAGGCAAATGAGTCTACACTGCATGAGGCACATCTACTCTTCCAAGATGTAACCTCAGTATACTTTGGTGAAACAGCAACAGCCTTAGAGGAGCCTGTTCTCAGTAGTAGGAAAAGCTCCCTCAGATTACAAAACCCCAGTACTTTTTGAGAAGCCTGTCGGTCTTTGAGAATATAGGAAAATAAATTGGGCCAGAAGAAGAGAATAATGGTTGTGGAAAGAAAACTTTTTCACTGCAAAATCTGACGTGGTGTAGAACTACATTTTCCAGGTTACACAGAACATCCTGAGTTTTTACATTGTACTAGCATAACTGTCTTGAGCACAATTTCTGGATGCCCAAGTTACCTGACTCCCTGTCAACTAGATCCTGTGTAGGGTATAGAAGCAGGACTCTGAGGCAAAGCCACCAGAGAAGACCTCCCTTTTAGGATTCTTTGGGAGAATTCTTGTGCTCTAAGTGTGCTGTCTCTGTCTGGGATGTAAGAAGTCTTTTCAGACAAGCTAATGAATGAATGGTCCAGTTCCCTGCCTTTTTACATTCCTTAATAGGAACAAATTTCTTATAAAAGACAGTAATTAGTGCTATAAAAGATAATTTCTATTTAAAGGAAACTGAACTGTAAATACAATACAGATTTGTTTGTTTGCATCTTCCTTTTCCATGGAACAAGCTCTGCAATACCTGGAAGATTTGGAAAATGTAAGAGGGAAGAACTTAGGTTAATTTATCTTTAAGCAATAAAATAAATCATTTGTAGTTAAAGAAAAGAAATCCCAGCACAGGACAAACATGAATAAAACTCTCAAAAAAATCCAGTTTAACAATGAGCAAATGATCCAGAGTCGGTTCTCAAAAGAGGTTGTATAAATGCCCGATAAAGGCAAAAAACCACAATGAGATATCCTCTCACTCCAGTTAGAAAGGCTACAATGAAAATACAAACAGTAGAAATGATGGCAAGCAGGTAGCAAAGGAGAAATGTCATACATTTTATGCAAATATAAATTAGTACAGTTATTATTGACAATATTATAGTTAAAATATTTACAGTTCAGTTTCTCCGAAAACTAAAAATAGAACCGAAGATCCAGCTATCCTATTACTGGGTATGTATTTTTTTAAATGAAATGATCACACCAACAGATACCTGCACCCTGATGATTATTGTAGCAGAGTTTGTGATAGCCAAGATACAGGATCAACTATGGTGTCCTTTGGTGGATGAAGGGAAAAAGAAAATATGGTATGCGCGGAATGTGAAGTCAGTGCAATATCAGAGACCACAAAAGTAAAAAGACTTTATATGGGGTCTTAGGAGTTGCAATTTGAGAGACACAGTTCTACATAGCTATGGGTCAGGGCTCTGAAGAGAACAAGAAAAGTGTGGTCTCATGTGGGCTATTGAATTTTGAAAAGGAAAGGAATCTGCATGATGTATAGAAGATAAAGACAAGAATGTTTCAAAAGAGTGTAAAAGTCCACAGGAGGGCAGTCTGGTAACCCTCTGATATGCATCTTGAGCTTCTAAGCCCTGTGCAGTTCTCCAGCCATTCCAGATGCATATAGTGAAGGGGTGGAGGTAACCAAAATCAACACCCCAGGCAGCAGCTGGAATCACGCACAGCCCTGTTTCCCAAGGGCGCTTCCTGACTCCATTAGTAGGGCTCTTTCACAGTTGCTTTCAGTACCATTCTCTTTTTATTTTCACAACACAGTGGAATATCGATCATGAGAAAGAACGAAATTCTGTCATGTGTGGCCATATGAGTGGAACTGAAGTGCGTCATGTTGAGTAAAATAATCCAGACACAGAAAGATAAACACTGTGTGTTCTTTATCATACGTGGAAGCTTAAAAATTCCTTTAGTAGTATTAGAAGCTACAAACACTCATCAGGAGGGATTAGAAAAGGTGGGGGAGTGGACATAGGAGGAGGTTGGATAAGAGGTACAGAAAGATAACTCCATAGGAGGAATATAGATTCTAATGTTATACAACACTCTAGCATGAGTAGGGTTCACAGTACTTTGTTATATACTTGATAGATGTTCAAATATCCCCAACACAAAAAATTACAAATATATAAGGAGACAGAAATGTCAGTTGCCTGTATTTCATCACTATATATTGTATACTGTATCAAATAAGCACACTGTTTGCCATAAACATGTACGTTGTAAATCAAAGAAAAAAAGGACCATTTTCCATTTCCATGCATTAACTCACTGCAAAGATTCATGTTGTGAAGAACAGAATATTTGCTCATCTAGCATTGTAGCTATGCTGCCTTGCATGACCTGTGGAAAACACTGGAACTTGTCCCCCAAAATCTGCAAATTTCATGACCAAATCTCCTCAATCTACACTAGATAAATAAAAATAAAGATTTTACACAAGGGCCACATTTTCATTGCTTGTTGTAAAGCTCTATGCATAGTCCGCCACAGAGGCTAGAAATAAAATTTTCTTATAGGAAGTGTGAAAATATTTTCATATGTTCTTTTGTTTGCCTCTGATTTTCAAATCATGCTGTCCTGGATTGAATCAGAGATCTCCAGTGTCACAATTCAGCATATTCATCCTTCTGGGTGTTTTTTTTTAATAGCACTTTGTAGGAGAGTCTTCAACTAATTGGAAAGATGATCATGCATAGGTAAACCCAGAGCAGTATGTCTGTGTATGTTTCTTGTTTTCCATTTATTTCATAGTGCCTTCTCTCACTCTGTGCTGTGATTGGTCTTGGAAGATGAGTAAAAAGGTTGAGCTTGGTGCATGAGTCTCCAAGCCTCTGACCTTAGAGCTGCATCAGACTTCCAAAGCTACGTTTGTGCCTGTTTGTCTTTCAGACTTAGGAAAGCAGATT